TATGTATACTTCCCTGAAACAAAGCCTGGTACGTAGCCTAACATGTATAATGACAGGGCCATAGAGTCAGCTACGGACAAAAGCAGAGAAAGCAAATGTTTTTTACTTAATTCCCAATACTAATAATGGTTATCATGTTTTAAATAAGGCACAGCATATCAGCATTTCAAAGCAGTCGCAGTGATTTTTTATCCCTTGCAGCTGGACACATAATTGAGATGCCTCAAAATTAGCAGATATTTGCATTAGCTGTCTTTTAACCGGTCAATGTCGGCTCTTCTTATGTTGCAGATCCACTTCCGAAGTCTATGTACATGATCATCTACATGTGTCATGTGATGTGGTGTATTATTTACAAATAGCATATCGTTTTAACTGGTATCTTTCACAGAACAAAGGGCAGCAGAATTACACAGATCCCCGAACCAAGTAGTGTTTTCCCTAATTTTTAACTGTATAGCTTCACAAGATTGTATCTTGTATTAGTTTACATTGATATTATGATTACATATGATTAAACAATCAATAAGTACAGTCTCTGTTCGTGTGCCCAGCAGTCAGTGAGTCACTGCATCTGTCACTGCATGCCGTCCTAACGAATTTATTATTTGCAAACGTATATAACATGCAACGCGTGATAAATCTAGTACCTATCATCCTCTGTGGGAAACTTGAAAAGCGCTATATCTGGGTTTTTCTTCCTTGTATTGGAACAATTTCTCGCACTGCAATAACCGCCAGCTGATGCCATTTCGAGTAGTTGACCGCTTTATTCGCCAGGGGCAGCACCATCGAAACGCTTAACAAGCAGGGTAAACGAAGTGTCCAGTCTGTGTATCCGTTAAGCCCGCCGCACACGTTGTGGAACTTGCTGCGCCATCGTCCACACGTCTACACGTGGACGATGGCGCAGCAAGTTCCACATCGTGTGCGCATGCAAAATCCCTCGATCTGCGTCGTGTGGAAAATATCACACGTGTTTGATATTTTCTTCCACGTGTGGAAGATTGAACAGCGTGTGCGGAGTGGCTGTGTAAATTTCCACACTCAATTCGCATTGTTCTTGATTATTCGCTTGGACACGGAGCGTCGTTGAAGAGAGCGTTCACACGACGTTTGATCGATCAGTTCTTGGACATGCCTCTATGCGAGCTGCGAGCTGAGAAAAAAATACAATGCGTCCAAGCGAGCAATCAAGCGAACAATGCGAATTGGCATCACACACGTCGCGACACTAGCACCGACCTACGGCACAGAAATGTATACACCATATTATTCGACTTTGCAGGGACGTCGAGAATATAGGGCAATAGTAATTATTTAGAACCCAAGTTTTTCCTGTCAAACAAGAGTTGAGACTAAAGTTTCTGCTCTGCTTTTAACATGAAATGTTATTAAAATAACCATATTTTTAGCAGATATTAATCGTGTGCGCGAAACGTCTTTCGACCGATTTATGCCATTATAATATAATATTAGAGCACCTGTTTATTGATTTACATGTTATATCTAAATATATTTTCAAGAGCTAATAATAATAGCTACCTACTTGTAGTTGTACCACAGACTGGACGAAACGCCAAAATAGTGTTATACAATTGAATGGTGGCGCCGCCCAGCGAATGAAGCCGTACACTAAAAATCTGGCTGCGGTGACAGACCGTGGATGTATAACGTTGTAACATTAAAACGTCTCTATCGTTAATTCTAAAATTTAGACTGGAATTTAATTACGCATTCTTCAAGTAGATTTTGCTCTATTAAACGGCTATACATTTATTTTTACGTGCAAAACGATCATCCACACTGTATCACAGACTATTAATGCACAATACACAATACATCGCAATGCGTAATGTGCACACGGTATACTGTGCTACAGTCGTAGTTTCATTTATTCCTTAGTCTGTGACCGGATTTTGTGAGATGTTTGTTTTTTCTACAAACAATAAAAATAATAAAGATGATATAATTTCCATATTTTTTACTCAAATACCATTAATCACATTTATTGCTAATTAAGAAGCTTAATCACAAGTGCTGGAGCTTCAGCAATTTACGATTCTGCTTGTTTCTAGGTTGGGAGTGCCAGGGGCGGATCCAGGGCTGAAGCTAACAGTATTTTTCCAGATTTTAAGAGCTAATCTCCCAAATTGAAGATTGAACAGCGTGTGCGAGGTGGCTGTGTACATTTCCACACTCAATTCGCATTGTTCTTGATTGTTCGCTTGGACACGGAGTATCGTTGAAGAGAGCGTTCACACAACGTTTGATCGATCAGTTCTTGGAATAGATAACGACAAAACAATCTTTTAAGAAGTAAATAACGATTGAAGTGAATGTATACACATATCAGTAGCAAGGTGAAGTCATGTAGAAGAGAACGGTAGGTTTTTTTTCGCGCCAATAGCGGCGTACGGGCCGCATTCGCAGCGCATGCATTTTGCATGCGATCTCACGAAATTTTAATGAGCCCCGTTCTGTCCCAATAACCAACACCAAAATATAAAAAAGGTTATATGGGACAGAATTATTCGGTCTATTCTTGGACATGCCTCTATGCGAGCTGCGAACTGAGAAAAAAATACAATGCGTCCAAGCGAGCAATCAAGCAAACAATGCGAATTGGCATCACACACGTCGCAACACTAGCACCGACCTACGGCACAGAAATGTATACACCATATTATTCGACTTTGCAGGGACGTTAAGAATATAGGGCAATAGTAAGGACCCAAGTTATACACCATATTATTCGACTTTGCAGGGACGTTGAGGATATACGGCAATAGTAAGAACCCAAGTTTTTCCTATCAAACAAGAGTTGAGACTAAAGTTTCTGCTCTGCTTTTAACATGAAATGTTATTAAAATAACCATATTTTTAGCAGATATTAATCGTGTGCGCGATAAGATATGCTGATGTATACATTACATCATCATATTTAATTTTTAGGCACATTTTGAAGCGTAGTTTTTTTATTGTAGCATCTATTAGTATAATTATCCACAACAAGTCTATTACAAGTTGTCAGAATTTGTCACGAAGAAGAATTTGTCAGAAAATAAATTTGCTTCGTGAGTAGGCCCTACTGTCGGCTTATAAACTCCACCCCAATACTTCATTTTAATAATTATAATGTACAAAATAGTTACATATTAATAAATAATATTATATGCAACCCCTCACTGCTTACATAACCGCGACACTACTACGATCATGAACGAAACAAAAAATGTAGAAGACACTGTAGGTTCTTGTGAATACCTACGATTTATTCGAGTTTATTTTACAAATACAAGATGATTTCATTTACATGCTCTCTCTCTCTGCGCTTTCTCGCGCCACGCTCCGTGCAGCACGCTACATAGTATACACACATCGCAACACTATAGCGCACCCGATACGCTACGATACCTACACGCGTGGCGCCACCTGGGCACCCGATACGCTACGATACCTACACGCGTGGCG